AGAAGATCTGCATCCTTGACAGTCCCCTAGGTCGTGCTCACCAATACCGTAAGAATGACGGGACGTCGGGAGTGTGAAAAGACGCTAGAAGTGCCAGAGTAATGAAGGGTAGATGAACCGTCCCTAGTCGTGACCCCATCGTGGGGTAGTCTGGGGTATTGCGGAGATCTGTGCGCCACGACATCCGGGATCTTTGCCTCAAGGGGATAGTGTATGAAGTGATGAACGGATAGGCATATGGAGACGTACTATGGCTAGTTGACCTTATTGGCAGCAGAGTCTTAGCCCTCAATCCTATTCGACGGCGAGTGACAAGCCTCGTATGTGCAAAGGCAAAGCTGTGGATCAACACTCGCAGCCATATCTCGAGATTCACATACGGCGTCGTGGTTGTATCACGAGTCACCTCACAGATACATGTTGCGCATCTGTAGATCGTATCTTTCATGTACGAGGAGTGGCATACGGTACTGAGGTCGGACGATCCTCCTGAGAGATCCATCTCCGCCATACAGCTGCACCCAGTGGTTTCGAAACCCGGTTGTATTAGATTGCTTCGTCCACGACCCATGGGCATATACGAGCGAATCTTCCAGAAAGATGTTCCGGTCTCGTGGATTTTAATTTGTAGCAAAGGTCATGAGGCTCGTTGTCTTTCCCTGGATAACGGTTTAGCCCCAAGAGTAATTGCCAAGATCCTCGAGGTTCTTACGTCGCTAGGCATGGTACAGGGACGAGTCTGCAGTGACACAGGTCTTGCCCCTCTGGAGCTATTTCCGACCTACGTGGCTGGCTAGCTGGTTTTGCCTGGAGTCCATCACGCAGCCTCGGTCATATTGCCAGGTCTACCCGAAAGACAACAACCCGTTCTCAGATGCGTGAGAAGCATTGAGAGAGTTTTGTCAAATGATCTTCTCGTTGGAATGCAGGAACACAACAGAAGCGCCGGACCCTGTAAGCAAGGTGAAGCTTCCGGACCAGACGGGACGAGACTCCTCTAAACAATTGGCTGCAAAGCTTGGAGCTTAATCAACTTGACTTGAACCTTAGCAAAATGGCAATGACCGGATTTCTCGGTCGAACTGCTGGCGCAGATTAGATTGAGGTCCAGGGGTCGCTCGCTAAGGCCGGAACATGCGCCTCGAGTTTGTCCGCCTGTCGGCTTCTGACGTAGAGGTCATACACGAGGACAGCGATATTGTTATGGCAAGTGGGCAGAATCATTTTCGCATCTCTACTGCTCAGCAAATGCGTTGGTGTTGGATCAAAAGGTCGGTTGTTGCAGACTGAAATCCAGGTTCAATGTAATCAATTAGCGACAGGTAATATAGCCTCCGACCACTCGATATGAACTCCGCAGCAGTATACTGACGATCACAGATCCACGGCGAATGCATCCCAGGTAAGCGGCAATACTCCAGGGACTGGCGAATGGGACGCTCTGTACTATACTGCGACCGGGCATAACACATTGAGCCGCAATCATCGTGACACTGTGATCTTTAGCCTTTGGCGACAGTTTCTGAGGTAACGACGGTTAGTATATTCGCGCGTGATAGGATGAGGATGTCAGTGTTGTTTGCAAAGTGCAGAGCAGGAAGGGGTAAATCGGCTAGGGCACAAGAAGACTAGCGTGGCGTCGTTCCTCCGCTTCCCAAGCGGTCATGTCCGCGTTCACTCAAACAGCATATGTGACGAACGACCAACGGTTTCCAAAACTTGTACTTTAGTCAGTGTCGCAAGTCTACGCCATCTCCTTCGACCGGCGGATCTGGTACGAAAGGTACCGCCAATGGGTTCAGATCTGTGATATGGCGCTGCTTCTTTCAAGTTGTTGCATTATAGTACTATCGTTACTTGTGGCTAACGAATGATCTATGCAGCCCAGTGGGTACAGTAAAGTCGTATACGAGTATGTTGGCGACCAGAAATTTTCGGAAGGGTGGCTTTGCCGTGCTACGCAAATTGACCACAGCATACAAAGATGTAACTTAAGACACTGTGGGATTCCCTTACGCATGATGATATGGACTGCTGCATAGCAGGCTTTTCCGCAAGGATCTGTTAACAAAAAGCTTATTGACGCGTACCCGAGCCCCCTTGAATTCATTGTTGTTTTGGACTGACCACCACGAGCAGTGTAAGCCCCTATCCATCACTTTATTGTTTTCTCCGGCCGTTTGTTCCGGCAACCATATTGGTCTGATATCTACCAGAGAACCACGCTCGTCATCTTCCGTCATAGTTACCTTCCGCTCTAGGTTCTCGTTGTATCGTGCCATCTCATCGATCACTTATACCTCTGGTTTTTGATTTCTTAGATCAAACCAGACTGCTTGAGATTCCCACAAAAGCCCTCAAAGCATGGTCGACAATCGGTTCCCGGTCTTTCCAGATCAGGATGTTGACATTACTGATGCTGCATCTCATCTAAAGCGGTGCCCCGAAGAGGATAGCGCCTATCATCTTTACAGTTGTGAACTGCAAACGCCGTAGGATCATGGGCAAGCTTCGTTACCTAATCCTGGCTCTAAATCCTGTCACTGTCCCAGGCAAGGAGGCTAAAGAAGGTGTATGAAGTCAGTACATAGAGATTTCAAATCCACGGTGTCAATTCCTCAGTTCGGAGTTTTGGCCGATTTTCGATTGCACATTACCAAGTTGTACAAAAGGCAGTAGGCCCGCTTGTTCTAAGTCCATATTCTCCGACATGAAACCTTTGAAATACCATGGCACATACTATACGGAGGCTGTGCAGTGGCGAATAATCCAATTGCAGCACATCCAGTCATGTCAGTGACTGAAGCGCAGCATCTAAATAGGTAAAAGAATATGTTTGGATATCTAAACCAATCCTCTCCCACGCTGAGCGTCGAGGCGGACCAGCTCTTCAGCAACATTCCTCGCCACATCTCGTCTATCCTCCTCGTACTTCCGCGCCACCTCTTCGTTCTCTTCTCGCGTACGCCAATAGCGCGGTCTTGCACTGGACCGTCTAATTGCACTATCGTCTTCTTCCGACATGGTTCTCTTCATGAACGACCGATAGATACGCGACTTGGATGGGTTCTTCGCAGCCACATCAGCGACGTCAGCCTCGTCTGATATATGGTCTATACACGCAGCCTCGAACGCGCGTCTGACGGACCCCGCAGGTAGGCTGGTAAGTCTCACGAGACAAGTGTTAGCCCCGTTGTCATCACCACTCCCTACCCCGTGCGACCTCCATCCCGTCTCGAATGGAGTTCTACCCGTGCCCAAGTCCCGCCAACTCTGCACCACTAGTCTGACCTGTCCACCAGTAGCATGTGAGAAGTCCTGGGTAGTCACACTCCAATCCGTCGCACAGGTCGAGCAGTTCTGTGTAAACTGGTACTTCCAGCCTCGGCGGATCACATTATCGATGGCGGCCATGAGACCGGTATGGCCGTTTGGTGTATCGCGATGGCCTGTGACGATATGTGGGAGGAGAGGCCAGAGCGACTTCAAGAGGTTGCGATTTCTCGTTGTGAAAGCGGGCAGAATGATTGCGTAGGAACTGTGTAAGAGAAAATGGCCTTGAACTATCCTGGCTGAGAGACTGAGCTTAGTGGGAACCGGCGTTCTAGAGATTCGCGCCATTTCTTTCTTCTCGTAAGTGAACGCGGAAAGGGGAATACCGTGCTCGTCTCCCCACGATGCGCGATTGATGGCAAGTCGGACATGGTGATATCGTAGCTTGTACCCGTTCCCGGCGTCCAAGTAGCTATTGAAGTCTGCACAGTCTCTTTTACCCCCTGGATGCTGGCTCTTTGGTCCGTCTTCAGCGCTCCAGGCATGGAATCTATCACACCAGGCGCAAAACCAATGGCCGGGAAAGGCGCGCTCTACTACTGCCTCGATGGTCTTTCTCTTCTCGAAGCGGTTCTTGCTCCCCTCGACATGGCGAGAAAGGACTTCAGTGCCGAGAGCGTAGTAGACGTACCGACTTGAAAGGCAGAAGGCTGCTGCCGAGGAAGTGTCGAGGTAGGTATTGACTTGTTGAATGAGTTCGAGTGGGAGACTGAGGATCGGAGTCTTCCGCGCCGGTGTTGGTAGCTGCTTGATTGTGGCCATGGAATCTACGACGTCGTGCTCCTCGAAAGTAGAATCCATGCTCGTTCTTGAACTTGCGGTGTCGGACGCAGATGAGTCGATGGTCGATGGACGCGATGACTGTGCAGAGCTAGAGCTCATGGACCGGCGAAAGATACCCATGATGGCGACTCAGATTTTCTACTGTCTGACTGAAGATGCGAGATAGCGAAATGAGGCTGAATCCAGGTACCAGCGCCAGAGACCCCTTATGAACTACAACTATAAACTGAATGTGCCAGCATGTGACGAAGAACAAGATTAGTCAAAGAACACGTCCAAAAGCTGCCACATAGTCGTTGCAAATTCGACGCCGCCTCGCGCGGCCACCGCATCCCCTTATCAATGCGTCTGCCGATGCACGACATGTCATCCGGCGGCCGTTTCTAACAGGCATGACAGTGGCACGCAACACGCTTGGCACGCCGGAACTAGGCACATGCCTACCAATCTACCGGTCTCAGGGACCAGACGACATGTCCGGCGGTGAAGGTGAGACGGCCGTCATTCACCAAACACACGTGCGCTGACCAAGTGGGGCTTAGCGCAACGTTGGCAACGTGGGTGTGGTGGGGTATGCCTGTAAGCGCCCTCCGCGCCGCCACTGTCGTCTTGATAGCGTGCAAGATTCTAGCCGGGTGAGTCAGACAGAGAGCAGGTTTGACGAGATAGTGTTTGAATATTAGATCGAAAGGCAGATGTAAACGCTATGCTATGCGGAAAAATAGCGGCTTCGATATGCTTCGCTGTGGTGCGAGGCATGTCTCATGCAAGCCCAAATTATAGATGTATATAGTACACATGCGCTTCTGGCTCATGGTGCGCAACCCTAGGTCATTTCATTACAACTTCTGGCTGTCGTCAATCGTTCCTCTCTTCAATGCGGTCTACTTGGGCAACTCCGGGTTCAGCTTGAGCTGCGGTACGGGAGGGCCGGTTCCAGCTCTCCGCCTGCGCTCACGCTCGTTGAAGCCAACAGGTTGGTCCAGCTGTGTGGTCTTCTTGAATCTGCCACCCAGATTGCGCATCCAGTCCTCGCCCTCGCCGGCATCAGCACCGAGCCAGTACTTGGGGGAGCCGCTGAGCATGACGCGGCCCAGTTTGCCCTTCCAGCCGCTGCCCTCTTCTTTGCCCTCTGCGAAGGGGTTCTCTGCGAGGTCAGTGGCGGATGTTTGCATGTTGTTCGAGTTGTACCATGCAGCGGAGGAGGCGTTGGCAGCGATGTGTTGGCGGAGGCACTGGCGGGCGAAGGCCAGCATGATGAAGACAAAGTAGACGCGAAGGGCCCAGAAGCCGGAGATGAGGGAGATGGACATGATGCTTCCGCTCTGGAAGACGGCGTTGCCGAGTCCCGCGCCACCATCTGCGCCCTGTCCGACTGCTACGGCGTGTTGGCCGGCTTGCATGCCCTCGGTCGGCTCGGCGATGATGTCAACCTGCGTGACGTTGTGCTTGGGGCTTGTGAAGCCCGCGTTGTCCTTCATGCCGGGCGACAGTCCGGCGTTCTCATCGGGGTGTGCGGCGAGTGTATAGAACCATGCGATGCCAAAGAAGGCTGTGTACAGGGCGTTGATGACCGAGTCGAGCGCATAGAGATGCGCCAGGAGGACCGACTCAAAGGGACTTTGTAACCGGATGTGCTTGTACAGGAATGTGGTAGCGACGAGCGCAAAGGTCGAGTAGAGGTACATGGACAGCTGCCAGCCGTCGATTTTCGCTCCCGTAAGCAGCGCGAGGAGACCGTAGACGCCGGACGCCTTGTTGATGACCTGTAGGAAGGTGATGACTTCGGCGCCTGTGCGGAGCGACATCTTCTGGAGGAACGTCTGCAGGCCAGAGTCAGTCTCGTCCTGTTGCAGCACGTGGTATCGACTGCCTGGGCGCGTCGTGTTGCTGGACTTACCTTGGGCCTGGGGATCTCGAGCAGGTGAGAAGGCGCCATCATGGTCGCGACTGGTCGTGGAGTCAATCTCCACGTGTATGTGAAAGCGGAATAGGCGTAGCTATGCTCTGGCTAAGACTGGAGTTTTGCTGTGTTTGGTAGGGAGACGACGTTGACCGTGAAAGAGGCTGATGGATGACGGATGCGCCCGGCACTGGGAAATTGGCCCATGTGCTCATCTCGCGCTAGCCCCTTTCCACGACTCGGACGCGCCCTTGACACTTCGATGCACTGTGAAAACTAGACACTGTAGTTAATCTTGTCTCTTTACTACAGCAATGCATATTAGGAGTTGTTTGCAGACATGAATAATCTCAAGTCTATAATACTAGTCTTTGTAAGTCTCTTGCTAGCAATTAATATTGGCTGCGAGGTAAGGTCTATCATTTCTATACTCGTTCCTTTTGTATGCGGTCGATGCAGTCTCCGCAATGAGCTCACATGAATTCATCGCAATTACGACCAGTTGTTGTTTCCACAATCGTCGGCCTTGCATCTACAATCGAGTTTCAAAACCCAACCCAGGCCATCTTGGTGGTGACGTAGCCCGCGCCAGTAGCCGCCAGCCTTCAGCCTCCGCCCGACCTGTGACACAACATCGCATGTAGTCAAACAGCATCTAAAACTACACTTGACCCATACTACTCTCTGCAGTTCCTACATCCACAAGTCGACATGGCAGATTACGTACCACCTGCGCCAAAGCTCCGCGAGCAGGATCTCAAGGGCAAAGTCGCCATTGTCACGTAAGACATGTTTCTACACTTGAATTCCCCTGTGCCTTTGAAGAGGTTATTCCTCTCAACCCGTACATGCTCTCTCGCATACATACCTCGAGAAGATCTAACCCAGAGTAAGCGGTGCATCGAAAGGGATAGGGCGGGCGATATCTCTCTCACTCGCAACACGCGGCTGTTCCATCTTAGGAACCTACTCGTCCCCCCAATCCGCCCACAACTTCGACACTCTCTCATCCACAGTCCGTGACCTCTATGCCTCTTCCAACAACGAGGTTCCAACCATGCGGGGCGTGGTCGCAGACATAACATCTCTCCCTTCCATCGGTACTCTCCTCACAGCTCTCGCTAACCATTTCTCCGGCAAGAAACTCAGCATACTCGTCTTCAACGCAGCCTTCAATACTCGACCTAGGATAGGTAGCGCCAGCGAAGCAGACATCAGCCAATCTCTAACAGGAAACTTGCACTGGCCAATCGTTCTCATGGAAAATCTGGTGCGTCAGGATCTCTTCACGCCACACAGCCGCGTCGTAGTCATCTCTTCAGATCGCGTACGAGATCCTTCTCCTGGATCTGGACTGTTCAATGCTACGCGCGCAGCAATGGAGTCGCTGGTGCGATCGTGGGCCATTGAGTTGCCGCATAGCTTTCCAGGAACGACAGTGAATGCTGTGTCTGTGGGACTGACGGATACACCTGGCTTGCGGTCCTTTCCCCCAGAAGCTGTGCGGGCGTTGAAGGAACAGAGGCTACCAAAGGTCAAGGTCGCCGAGGGAGGAAGAATGGGACAGGCGGAGGATGTAGCCGATGTTGTAGGGTTTCTAGTCAGTGAGCAGAGTAGATGGGTTAGCGGGAGTGTGATGGCGGCGAATGGAGGGGCTGAGTGGGTTGGTGGGAGTTCTTGAATGGTTGAGAGTCGAGCTTCTTCATACTGGTGGCCGCATGTGCGACGGGCAAGGTCTCGAATTGAAGGTGGTAGTACAAATCTAATACTTTGACGTCTCGTCGTAACTCTACAAACGCTCAACATGGTGCCGCTGCCATTGTCTCGCAACGTTGTCGACTATGTGGAAGGATAGTTACAGATATAACTAGAAGACACAATACGTAATACATGCATTCATGCAAAGGAGCCGTTGTGTATGACTTGTACCATCACAAAAACGTCCCAAAGATACACACGGTCACTCTTTCGTGAAGACTTCACGTAGAATCTCGTGTATACCTTTGGGAGAATCTCGTGTATTTGTACAAGATCATCTAGTGACTAGTTTGTATAACATCGTGCCGGCTTGCTTCGTCCGGCGTGCGACCTTGCAAAAGTTCGTCGACTTCTTCCGAGAGCTTTGAATTGCGCTTCTCGTGTTCGGCTGCGAGCGAGTCCAACTTGCTGGCCGGCAAATTATCTGGGTATCCATTCGCAGCAATTTGTTGCTTCAACGTTGCTACCGCGGGCCCGTCCACTTCGTCCACTTCGTCCACATCCTCAGGCTCCGTGACCATGGCCTTTCTTGCTTGTCCTCTGCTTGCCTTCATCCGTAGCCTCGCCTGCTCGATGAAAGAAAAGTCATTCAGCGTCTTTTCGATTTGATCTTCAACAAGCTTCTTTGTGTAGTTGGCAAGAGACCTAGTGGTGAAGACATTGGGGAACCGATAACTCAACCATAGATAGCACACAATCATTTTGTGAAGCTGCTCCAGTTTATAAAGGTATGAGCGGTCGCCGGAAGGAGGCAAGTCCATCGTTCCGAGGGGAAGAGTGTCAAGGTCCAACAGACTACCTGATTTGCCTTCTGCGATACATGCAGCTAGCTGGCGAAGGAATTCTCTTTCATGCGGGTCGCGCATGCTGATAGGCGCGGCGCAGATTATAATACGATCTTGGATGCTCAGACCTTTCACAGCATGGATGTTATCGGCAATCGCCAGCTGATCCTTGAGCTCACAGAGGTGGAATCGAGGGTGTATCTCGGAAATTTCATGTAGACGTAGCATTATGTAGCTGAAAGGCGTGCCTGGGGGGAAGTAGTTTGCGAATCGCTCAACGATGAGAGACGGAGGAAAGAGGCCAGCTGAATTGATCTGCTCGGGTTCGCGTTTCATGCCCAGCTTCAAGTTGGCGTGGTCGATGTGATCCAGTGTAGTGACCCATCCTACAGTCTTCGCTTCAGGCCTCTTTGCCTCGACGGCATCCGGTTGCTTGTCATCCAGGCCGATGGCGGGGTCGACAGCCCTGTCAGCAATCGAGGTTTGCTCCGAATCAGTAGTGGTTGCTTGGTGAGCGGTCTTGTAGCGGCCAGCACGACCCGCAATCTGCTTGATCTCGGAAATCTGCAAGGGCACATATGCCAAACCATTGCTTTTGATGGTAGATTCAAATATGACGCGCTTGATAGCACTGCACTAGTCAGCATCAGCCGCAGAGCGGAGTAAGGTTCCACTTACAGATTGAGGCCCATGCCGATGGCGTCACTCGCTACTAGGAAATCGTAGTCGTTGTCCGGGTCGTTGAACAAGCGTGCCTGTTGGGCTCTTGTCTCGGGCGGCAAGCTTCCGTATACTATGGCGCACTTCTTCCCCGTCTTCTTCTCAACCTCTCGGCGCAACGCATGGATACCCAGGACGGTAAAGGCGACGATGCAGTCACCCTTCTCGAGCCTGTTGAGATTTCCCCTCAGACTTTGAGCTTGCACCTCGAGTGGCGTCAGACGCTCGTACTCGTGTACATGTACCTTGTCGCCAACGAGGGCACAGAGCTCACGCATCAGCGGCACCGTCCGGGCTTCTCCACAAAGATGGATCTCCTTGGCTTGCAAGCCCAGGAATGCCTGTGTCCACGCCCACCCTCGCTCTTTATGGCTGATCATCTGGATCTCGTCGATGACAGCTACGTCAAACTTGGTGTTGAGCGGAGCCATCTCGACAGTGCAGCTGTACATGTTGGCGCGAGTGTCGTCGGGCATGCGTTGCTCCTCTCCGGTAACCAAAGCGCATGGCTTTCCCTTTGCATTCAGGCGCGTGTAGACTTCATGGGCGAGGAGACGTAGTGGACCGAGGTAGATGCCCGAGTCAACTTGTTCAAGGCGCTTCAAGGCGTGGTATGTCTTTCCAGAGTTGGTCGGCCCAACATGCATGTGTATTGTGCGAGTAATCTCTCGTGTCGCCGGGTACCACTCGGCGGGATAGCGCAAATCCGCCACTTCCTTCTGGTTCTCCAACTCTGCCGTCGTGAAGCGTCCGCCACAGGCCTGCGCATAGAACATGTATCGCAGCCTCGTCTCGAGCGTAGCCTTTTTCCGTTTGGCCTCACTCACCAGAGACACCAACTCTGGCGGCGCCTGCTTGATCCATAGGCTGATGGAGCGCTCGAAGGTGAGCCATTCCTCGTCGAACTCCTTGGGGCTTAATTGAAGACTGTCGAGGAACTCTGGCTTCACGAATTCCTGCCGTATTATGTCTAGTTTGTCCCGGACTATGTCAAACGAAGGACTGGTGGAACGATAGGCTCCTGATCGGAAGGGGTTCTTTTGCTTGAGCGGGTTAAACGACGAGGTCTTGCTGCCCGAGAGTTGTGATCGCTGCGCGGCCTGGGTGCGTGGTAGGAGGCGTGGGGGATGCGATCGTGAGCGGGCGGCGAAAGAGCAAATGAGACACAGCGAATTCCGCCGCGCTGGCAGTAGAGGCATGCCAATGGTGGGTATCGTGCGCGTAGAAGGGGACCAGGAACTATAGCGCCATGCGCCTGCAACAAAAGAAGAGCAGCAGAAAATCAAAGTCAAGTCGACGATGTCATGTCGAACAAAAAGTTAGCCAAGCATCTGCTAGACACCTCCGGCGGGCAAGGGACCGTCGCCGCAACCTTCCAGGGTTGCGACACGACCTCTCTAGCTGCGACGCGCTCCCCACACCACCACCACCGCCCAGCCCAGCACCACGCCCGCCGCGTCCACCCAGTGCCGCTGAACACGCACCCTCGGCCCTCTGCTGCGACACAGCTGCACTCTCCACCGGCTTATTCTCCCTCGCCGGCATTGGCTGCCCTACCCCGCCAACATGGCGTCCATGATAGACATCCAACGAGAGCGTATGCGGCGACCTTGGGTACACAGAAGAGACGGCTGCTGACAGCACACACAGTCATTCTCAACTCGATCAAGCAGACCACCCGCGGCGACGTATGCAACCCCTGGCCGACGCTCGTACATGGCTAACGACTGCTGCACAGTGGAAGATACTCATCGTGGACGAGGACAGTCAGAAGCTGATCAACAACGTGGTCAAGGAAGATGACATCCTCAACCTCAACATTACAAGTATGCGACGCTGAACCCTGCCGGAGCGCCACTTTCTGACCTCGCAGACATCGAGCGCATCGAAGACCGGCGGCAGACGATACGCGACATGGACGCCATATACATCATCACACCCAAGCCGCACATAGTCGACTGCATGATGGCCGAGTTCGACCAGCGCAGATACCGGGGCTTCTTTTTGATATGGACCACGTTGCTGCCACCACACCTCAAGGAGCGCATAGACCGGTCGCAGATGGCACGCGAACAGATTCGGAGCTTCCGTACGGTGCACCTCGACTTCCACCCCCAGGAGTCGCACCTCATCACCTTCAAAGACCCCTGGAGCTTCCCCATCCTCTACCACCCCGAGTGCAACAACCTCGTAGTGCGACACATGGAGGACATTGCTGAAAGAGTAGGCGCCTCTCCTCCCCAAGCCACCTCCGCTAACAGCCCAGATAACTGGCATCTGCGTCGCACTGGGCGAATACCCCATTATCCGCTACTACCGACCGCGGGCCCCAACCCACGAGGCCAGCGTCTTGTGCTCACATCTTGCCCGCTTCGTCCAGGATAAGCTCGACATGTACGCCCAGTTCAACCAAGACTTTCCCCCACAGTCAAACCGGCCCCGCGGTGCCCTCTACATCACCGATCGATCCATGGACCTCATGGCTCCCTTCCTCCACGAGTTCACATACCAAGCAATGGCCATGGATCTGCTGCCGATACAGGACAGCGACAAGGTGACGTACCGCACCATCGTCAACGAGGAGGATCCCGCGGCCGAGGAAAAGGACATGGAGATATCCGACAAGGACAAGATATGGGTCGAGAACCGCCACCGACACATGAAGGACACTCTCGACAAGCTGATCAGCGATTTCCAAAAGTTCATCGCCGACAACCCCCATTTCACCAACCAGGATGCCCAGAACGCCGCCGGCATGAATGGACTGAATGCAATCAAGGACATGATCGCTGGACTGCCGCAGTTCCAGGAGATGAAGGAAGCCTACTCTCTTCATCTCACCATGGCGCAGAAGTGCATGGAGATATTCCAGAAGCACAAGCTCCCGGATCTGGCTTCCGTCGAGCAGGTAAGTCGCACTGACCGTAGGCTCGCACCGTTGCTAACCTTTGCAGTGCCTGGCTACTGGCCTTGATGAAGACTACCGGAAGCCCAAGAACATGACTGACCAGATTGTGCGCACCCTGGACGATGAAGAGATAACGCCAGCTGACCGGCTACGACTTGTCGCGCTATACGTTCTCTTTAAGAATGGGATCCTACCAGCCGACCTCCAGAAGCTCCTCTTCCACGCACAGCTGCCGCCCACTGACGGCGAAGTCGTTCGCAACCTTGACCTCCTTGGAGCGCGAGTCGCCAGACAGCTCAAAGAGAAAAGAGACGCTCCGCCACCGCTTTTCCCGCCTAAGCCAGCCCCGCCACCAAATGCTGAGGATTACGGCTTGTCCAGGTTCAATCCCGCGTTGCAGGATATGCTAGAAGAGCATGTCCGCGGCAGCCTGCCGCAGGATGTCTTTCCCTTCACAAAGATGTCGCCCGACGATGCCGCGAGCATGGCACAAGAGAATGCTGCGCCTGCGTCACTGCGCTCTGCAAAGCCGACATGGGCCAAGTCGCGGCTCGCAAGTGCAGAGCCCCGTCAGCGAGTCATCGTGTTCGTAGCTGGTGGCGCAACCTATTCCGAAGCCCGCGCCTGCTACGACGTTTCAAATAAGACCTCGAGAGACGTCTTCCTCGTCACATCGCACATGATGAAGCCGCAGCTCTTTCTCCGCCAAGTTGGCGATCTCAGTCAGAACCGCCGCAACCTGCGCTTACCCATCGACCAACCACAACCGAAAGCTCCAGCGCATCTGTTCGAAAAGCCTGAGCCGCCAAAGCCTGCGCCGCCCCCTGCTGGCACCAAGCCCCCTATGCCTGGAGGCCTACCGTCCGGTCCCAGAGTCGCTGGTCCAAAGCCCCCGACCGCCGCCATGGGCGCCATTAATCTCAACGGCCAGCCACAAAAACACAGCCCTTCGTCCTCGCAGAGCAGCACGAAGCCTGGCAAGGAAGAGAAGGAGGGCAAGGAAAAGAAGAAGAAGAAGTTGCATTTGTTTTCCTCCAAGCATTAGTGGTGCTTGTTAACGTTTCTTGCTAGGGCGGTGCATACCTTTCTGGCGTTGTTTTGCTTTGTTCATAGCGAGGATTGATACTGCTACATCTGCTCTTCTTGCGGGGTTACTGCATAACAGGCATGGCGTTGGTTGGCTTGCGTAAAATCTCTGGCGACTGCCCAGGCCTATTTGCTTTGCTGTGGGTAATAGATGGCAAGGATGCCGTTTGATAGACCAAGTTGGAAAAGTACTCATCACCACTCTTGCTTTCCTCGACTTGTGTGCTCTGGATCAGTCGGAATATGCTTTGTGTCTTCCTACCTCGGATTGTAGTCTCCCCTGACTGATATCTCGTGTTTTCTCTCATACCCCAAAGTCCAGACTAGTACGCCCATTTGGTTGAATAGTCCCTCGGACTGACAACAAGCCCCTTTCCCTTGCTCGCTCCCCTATACACGGCTTCTAAGATGTCAATCAACTCCTGCTTCGTGCCAATAGGAAAGTTGATCTTGTTGTTGTTGCCCGTGCCAAAATCGACTTGCATGTGCTTGTTGCGCCAAAAGAACATGACAGTGCAGGGATCGTAGATCTCGTACATGGCGTTGAAGTCTGGGACTTGCTGTTGTAACATCAGCATGGACAGGCGAGGGACAACAGCACAGGTGAGGGAAGGGAACTCGCCTGGTTGTCAACGACGTAGATGGCAACCCAGTCTTTGACTGCATCAACAATCTTGTATAGCATCTCGTCCATCTCCATACATTCGGGTGTGTAGTCGTTTCCGAAACGGAGGCACACTATGCGGGCCTCTTCACTGAGCTACGTATTGTGAGCGGCCGGCACGGAGTGAGCAAGGAGGAACGTACAATGGCCTGATCGACGTGCCACGCGGAGGGGAGGTGCTGTAGCATCACTGAACCCATGATGACGATTTGTTGAAAGAGACGTGAGAGGGACGTGGGAGAGTCGCAGGACAGTGCGGGTTGTCTTGCAGCAGTGAATGATGAAATAAGAGTGGACGGAGCTGAGGAAGGTAAGATCAAGTCGCTCATCGCGTGTCGTGTTTACCTACGACTACATTGGGCAGTTTCGTTTGCTCCCAGCTCGTTGCCTACAACAGAACACATCCTTACATTTCATTTGCGCCGTTGAGGAAACCATACGCCGCCGAAGTATAGATAAAGAAATTCGGTTCATGCCAACAGTCTAATATCTCACACCCGTCGAGTAGTATTCCTCCACCGTCTGCTGAGGCGCATAGTATTCCGTCCGACCACTAGGCGCAACATTCCCTGTCCGCTTCGCTACCATCTCCCGCACAAAAGCCTCATAACTCTCGTACGGTCGTCCAGCCGCCTGTGGATGTTTTGCTGCCCAAGCAAGGAATGCCGCTTTCTGTTCTTCTGCGGCCTGCTGCTCTTGTTCCAAGGACATTTTTTGCTTCTTCGCTTTCTTGCTTGCGGGGCCCGGAGTTCGTTGTCCAGTCACAGGATCACGACCAGCCGCTTGACGTGCTTCAGCGAGAAGGTCATCGCTGGTGGGTGTATCTGAGGGATGAGACGTTCTGTTGGCATTACCGGATTTCTGGTATGGATTTGACTTTCCGCGAAGCTTATTGATAGGGGACAGTAACGCTGATGTGATTGATAGCCCAGCCATCTCTGGGGTTGATGTGGAGCAAGTTCCGCGCTCCTGTGAGACTGGTATCGTAGTTGTCGAGCGTATCAAAACTTAGACGAAAGGCTCTCGAAGCCCGTCCACCTGGTCTCCCAAACGTGGATGCAGCACGCTGAGGGTTTCACAGAAAAGTGTATCCCAAGGACCCTTCACTGTTGTTGGACAAAACACTCCGGTGCCGTTGAGTCGAGATCACTTTGCAGGCTCCCAACTCTTACGAACAAATACTACCCGAAGCTACTGCGTTTATACTTCGTTGGAGACGGACAGCACATCGTGGTGGCAGCCTACAAAAAGTCAGGGGTATGAGCGGTAAGGCGCCCGGCTAACCGCATTGAGAGCGGACAATGAAGAAACAGACAAGTGCCAATAAAGTCGAGTCGTACTGATCAGGGACGGATGCCAGGACTATTTTGAGCATGTGGAACAAAATTACCAAGCTATCTACGAGAAAGTCATTCTTACGAGATCTACCTACAAGCGCAAAACCTATTTTGGAAGATTACGCAGGACTGTTACATTTTGAGTAGAAAAGTAACTGTGTCTACCTTTGGATAAATCGGTTAGAGATGAACTTCTTCGTACTACAAACGATAAACATGTCGGAATAAGCGCAAATGCACAAAAGATCAACCCGTTTCGAGGTTTAACGAAGCACGACAAAGCGACACTGGTGATGTGCTTGCCGAGCGATGAAGTGAAGAAATCCAGCAGTCAAGAATCAGGAAGGCTGGAAGAAATAAGACAAAAACGCCCAAGAAGGCCAGTTAGATGGCCGTCCACATTACCACATCCTCCCCTTGCCCTTGCTGCCAGCCGCTGGACTAAGCGGTGGAAAAGCGTCTTCGGCATCCTTCCTGCTCTGCTCTTCAGCAAGACTCAACTGCATGGCAAACTCCAAATCCGACATCTCGCTCTCGTTGCTCGATCCAGCAGTGGTCCTGTCTTTTCTGGGGGTGCTGCCCTGAGAACGTGACGGCAGAGACTTTTTGCCTTTGGCATACTTGATTGGAATGTCGAACGCGGAAGGCGGCGTAGTGGCGGGTTCATACATGTCAGCACCAGAGCTCTCATTAAGAGAGAGGCGAATAGCTTCAGCAATGTCAGCATCCAGCTCTTCATCATCCTTGACGGCAGGCGACGAAGGCTGAGCTTGAATGCTCGGCTCTGGCGTTACAGTCTCACTGCTGAAGGCACTACTCTCGCGCTCGATGCGGCGCAACTCCTCCGCCTCCATAGTCTCCTGGGAAAGCATCGCGGCGTATGCCAAAGCTTCGTCCTCGCTCAATAGCTCCGTACCAAAACGACCAGCCAAGCGCTCGGCCTGCTTTTGACGTTCTTGCCTGTCACGCTCCAGCTCAGAATGCTCGTTGGCGATGTAGTTCTTCAAGTTAACTCTGCCCGTGCCAGCAAAGCGCTCAGCAGTATTACTTCCGCGTTCAGCTCTTCGAAGTCTACGTTTGCTGCTTCTGTACTGATCGGCGGCAGATGAGCTGTAACTCCAGAACCGAAGCTGATTACCAAGCGATACTGCACCTCGCAAGACAGTCGGATCAGGGTCCAGACAGACGGCACCGGCAGCGAACATGTTGATACCGACTCCTTGGACAGAGGCTTGTGCCTGTACGAGTTGTCTCCGAGCACGCGAAGCATGTCGAGAGTGAAGTGTTGTGATAGGTGACATACTCGAAGCCAGCGGGTCCCATGCCTGTACCAGGCCGTCATTTCCGCCTGCTACGAGATAAAGAGAGGTGACAGCCAAGCATGATATCTCTGGTGAGTCGGTGTAGATGATCCGAAGAGGGTCGATGTTGTTTGTATACTCGGACGAGCGCGATGTGGGCGCCCGGATATCCCAAAGCAGCACTACACCAGACTTGGTGCCAGCAGCCACGAATCTCGCGCGCTGACCAGGAATGTCAGAGGGAGATGCAGGCTGACTTGCAACTGACATTGGGGAAGCGTAGGGCGAAGACGCAGTGGAAGAAGTTGAGAAACCGAGCGCGGGATCTTCAGACAGGGTTAGAGTGGCGAAAGTAGAGACGTCTAAAGTGGTAGTGGTAAGCTGGGTGCTCTTGAAGCCACCGAAAGTGAGTTTTGAACACCTCCATTCTTCTTCGGACAGGCTTGCTCGTTCTGGCGAACTCGTAGTCGACATGTACGAAGAACTGCGCTGACGAAGAGAAGAGGAATCTAGAGTTCCTGTGCCTGGACCGCCGAACAGGGATGTAGTCGGCGCAGGCTGAGGCGTCATGATACGACTCGAGGTAGTTGTACTTTTTTCTTGGTCAGTCTTGCATCGAGTGAAACGTCTGACGTCCGCAACGTCTCCTTCTTCAAGCCCGCATTCGAAGACGACCATGGCCTCTCCAGCGTGGTTGCCGTCATCGCCAGCAAAGTCGACCTCAAGTCTTCGACGCATATCCCATCCAAGGCACGTCTTTCGGAAATGCTTGGGTTCCTTGCGAAGGAACTGTTGTATCTCCCTGGTCTCGGCGGTGATTTGCTCCTTGCTCAAGCACATGCCATCCCACGATGTTCGGGGCGAGTAGCTGCCGTCAACATCAGCGTCGCTGTATGGATCTGGTCGTGCAGTGCGCCGGCTAGGCTCTACCAGGTTCCAGTACACGCTGCGACCAGTAAGCCAGCCCAGGTATTCTGAGTATTGCTCAATGTCATCCTTTGGGGCCTGGCTGCGGGTTGGAAATTTGGTCAAGTAGAAGATCTCGCCGAGAGCGTTCAAAGCGACCGCCCAAATGCGGTTCTGAGCATAGCGCTTGGCTGAGTATTGCTCGTCTACGGCGATGGCGATGATGGGTACGCCTGGACTAAGAACCCAGCGCGCAGTCAGCTCGCCACGCTGTACGCGAGATGTACGGAGACCATCTGTACCAATACTGCAGGCACTGACGACACCAGCTGCAGAGCCCATCATCATCCCAACCAAACCCTCCGAGAGCGTGGGGATTGTGCTCGACTTGGCGATCCAGACACTGCAGATGGCACCACCGTCGATACCTAGCTTCGGTATACCGACTTCTGGCATACTGAAATCGCTGGGTTCGGCTATGAAGCGACCGCGCATCTCCTCAAGGGAACGATAGTAACACGAGCCTTCTGGACAGCCCTGGCCATAGATCATGCCATACGGCTGCGATATGTCCATGACGTTGGGCCGTCCGACAACATCTCCGGAGCCCAGTCCCCACTCAGCGACACCAGGAAAGCGTTCTGAAAATTGACCGTAGAAGTGGGGGTCGCTTTGTCCCCACGGATCGACTTTACCCGTCGTCGGATCGCTGCTGGTGACCATGCCAATATCGTCTGCACCATGAATGAAACGCGGCATCTTCTTATTCAGACCAGACCCAAACGTGGCCTGCAAGTGGTTTATGATGGTATACGTCTTGGCATCGTAGGTTATCATTGGGGTGACTGTCTGCATCTGAGCAGCGCGGGATGGTGTTGAGGGAACCTGCACAGGCTTGCCTCTAACGAGCGACCGCAAGAGTCTAGTGCGTAGAATGTACTCGCTCCTCCACGAAGCCAATGCCGTAAGCCTAGTGAAGCGTCTCTTTTCTGACCGCACGACCAAGCCATCGCCCTCAAGAGCTGAGCGGAACGCGGCGTCTTCGAGCGAAAGGGGGCCGGGAAAATAGCGACCAAAAGCCACCTGCCAGGCGTGTGGGGTGGTGACTGCATCATGGAAACGGCGAGAGACAAGGGAAACGGCAGCAAGGTCGTTCGGCGACAGGTGGGCAATGGCGTGAATCAGGACCTCTGTGCAATGTCAGCTCGTGTCCAAATGTTAAGCACTGTCAGTCTCGCGTTGTACACACCATTTGGCAGCTTCGAGATAGGAGAGTTCTTGTCGCTAGGCTTCTTGTTACTCTTAATAATCTCAAACAGGGGCCCATCAGCAGGTTTCCGTGGTGAAATCTTCAGCGCATTCTCGTATTCAGTGATTCTATCCCTCGGTGGCGGCGAGGGGGACGCGATGCGCTTCAGTCCGTCTGGTTGCACGGTATCGACGATTCCATTGTTGGCCTTGTCTGGACGCGTCGCATCGGGCGGTGTTCCCGTGTCACCCCACAGCTCACCCGAGTGAGGCTGCAGAGAGTCCTGCAAGTCATCGCTGCGGTGCTGTCCATGCTGGGATGCGGTGGCGGGGTCGGGAAAGGTCTGTACGTGGGAAACGTTTTGTGATACGTTTGTAGGCTCTGGCTGCATAAAATTGTGGAAATGGTTCGTGGATGAGGGCAGTCGACCGAGCTGGATGGCAGTGCTCAGTCAAAGTGAATGGATGCGTTCGCGAGGATGTATGGTTTCGTAGTGTTGGTGCGAGGTGAGTTTGGGGGTGAAGTTGATGACTCGGTTTGGGGTTGCCAAGATAAGAAATGCAGTGACTGATATGACGATCGCCACTCCGAGATGGAATCTGCGAACGTGGGGTAGCAACAGAGATGGCACTGGCAAATCGCATCAACAGACCCACTATTACCTTCGCATCTGGCACGTAGAAACGTCACGAGTACCGCTTAGTATCTTGTTAGTTGGTCCATTCCGATAAGTTCCGAAAGAAAGAGGCACCGTCACAGGAGCTTGTTGTCTCTTTCCTACTCGCAAAAGCTACGCAATTTTGAGGTCAACGTTAACAGAAAGGTCATAATGTATGCCTTTAGGATCAATTAGTGCTTAGGGCAGAACTAAGAAGAAACGGGCTTCTTTGTGTGAATCATCTATACATACAGCCAAGAACAAAACGCCAACCGGTCAACAGTCATAATCAAGGCACATACAGCCGTGAGTATGCGGCCACGTTCGTCCTGCAGCATACACACGCAGTATAGTTTTTCGACGCCAATCCCACCCGGCAATCATCGCACAAGCTCAAACACCCACACGGCCATACCAGCACAGTCCTTGGCGACATCTGACAAACCACACACTGTGGTCCCTCCGAGCCCATGCCCTCTGCTCCCGTGTCCCAGCTCCCAGCATTGCTCGCGCCCTGCGGTGCAGCCGCGCTCCGGCGACTGAGGATGAGGTCTTCCAGAAGCTGCTCCTCTTCTTCTGCAGACATGCTGACACTATCACCCATTTTGTAGCGTGATGTTGTTAGGATCTTAGCTTCTTCGCGCTCCATAGCCCTGCGGTACTGCGAGCGTGTCATGATGTTGGAGCTCTGGAGATGGCGTGACAGCAGCTTGGCTTCCTCTCGGTCCTCCCTGGTCTTTGGGTCGAGGAGTTGAGAAAGACGGGAGAAATCCATTGCATCGTCAGCCAAGGGTGTTTCTTCCCGACTCCGCTGGTATGTATCGCGTGTAGGCGTCCTTTGGCCATCGTCAACGTCTGACCATTCATCGTTGTCTGTCGTGGTAGCATAGGATACGACGCTCGTAGTGTCGTCGTCTTGTGGAACAACATAGTCCCGGCTGTTATCAACCTCGTTCCAGAGACTGCCGTTGCGCCACCAGGAGTACAGATAGTCGTCGAGACGATCCTCTGAGTCCTCGGCATCTGGTTGAGAGTAGAAGCCACTCTGTCGGAGCCTCTCCTTTGCGAACGACTCCACGTCGAATTCTCGATTCTGACGGACTCGGGACCGGTCATCCATGGTAAGCCATGGCTCTTTTGCTGATGTAGTTTGGTTTTGGTATCGGCCTATGCCAGCTGCTGAAGCATACATCTTTCCATCGTCATCAACAAGTCCCACAGTACGTCGTAGCCATCTAGGCCGGTAGCTGATCCCCACCTTGGCCAATGCCCAGTCTGTGATCTTTGCAAGGCTGAGGACGATCAACTTTGATATGCGAAAGAAGAATTGGTATGTTTGGAGATAGCGACTGCGTTGCTGGAGCGCGGGGTCATTCTGTCCCATGGCATTAGAAGAATCTGCAGAGGTTATACCTCGCGTCTTGCGCTCTCTTGCGTAGCCTGACGATGATGTATCCGTCCTGACATCACTAAGCTCGTCAGTCACCTCAACGCCCTGCGCAAATGTATCGTTTCTGAGTTCAGATGGGATGTTGGTGATCATCTCTCTGGTTTTTCGCCGTCGAGCGAGCAGTTCCTGTAATCTCTGCTTTTCAAGCCAGGTCATTGCATGGACATTGACTCTAGTTCCCTCGTTAAGGAACACGGCTTCACTCGCCGAGGTCAGAATGACATAACCTACCTTGAGTATAGTGGTGTAGAAGTCTTCGTGCCAGTTGATGGTCAGGGGCGTGATCGAGGATAGATGAATGTTGGCATGTAGATTACCATAGGCCAAAGAGAACCTCTCTCCCAATGTCAGATTTTCGGTGCGTCCTGCAGGCGGGGATATTACGGTGACAAGAAAAGCCAAGAGGTAGATTAGTGCGCACACTGCAATGCCCACGAGTATCAGCAGGTGTGGGATGAATCCAATGATGCAGACAGTGGGAAATCTCAAGATGCCCACATAGTGATCTGGATCAGTGACCATCCTAGTGAGACGGACACAACTCCAGGCGAAAGCTGACATGTATGCTAGCCCACACATTGTGGTCGTCACTAATCGCCATCTCGAGCGCACCCCAGCAATTGCTAAGAGGTTGCTTATGAAGTGGCTTACACTAGAGATGAGAGATATCAACAACACTTCTGGCGGCACGTTGGCCATCCTGGAAAGCTTCGACCTTGGAATCATGAGGGAGGTGCCGTCTGGGGTGAAGACCGACTTTGGTTTGAAGAAGCGTGTGGAATCGACCGCCAGCGGCTTCGTCACCACTGCCTCTGCCTCTGCAAATGCGAGCGAATGTTCAAATATGGTCATTCCGACTTCCTGGATTGGACGTCTTCCCTGCAGGGCGCACGCCAGGGTATCGACAAACTGACCAAAACCGAGGGTCACAAACATGGGCCATAGAAGCGCTAGTGACCCAGAGGACCGCGTGCCTGATGGATCCATGGGTAGCATGTTTGCAGCTCGGCATGAGTCCTCGGTGGTTTCCCAGAAGAGCACCGCCGATGCCACTTGCCACAGATAACCGCCTTCGCCGCCAAAGTCTGTGTCCAGCTGCCGTTCGTCCGCTCCATATTGCATTGTCGACCACCCTGGCGAGGTTTGGCATCGTATGGCTCGTAGGATGCTCTGTGCTTGGTAGAGGAACAGAACCAGGGGCATGATGTAGAGAGCGAAACGGAGGTAAAGGCGGTCGAAGGATAGCGGAACGCGACTATTTCCATAGAAGTGAGTTCTGTTGAGGATGATTGCCTGCGAGCATGTATTTAGTACGAAAAGTGCAAAGTCCATGAGTTTAGGCTTACGATCGCGAAGGTTGCGATGGCCCATTTGGAAGTGATGTAGCTGAACCAGGCAGCTACATTCCTCAAGGCCTGCCATACTGTCATGTCGCCCTCAGGTGCTGCAGCCGCCGAAGCCGCAGCAGCAATGGATTCCTGCACAAAGCCAGGGGTTGCAGTTGTCATGGTGCTGTTAGTCAAGTTGGCTGTCGGCTCCGCGATAACGCTTCCGCCCGAGCGCATCATGTCGCCAAGAGAGCTGGCTTTGGAGAACAGACGCGGCAGTGCCATGAGCAAGTCCGCCGGCGACGGCAAGAAGGAAGTCGCGTTGGCAAACGCGCCGGGAGTCTCCATTGCGGACGACTGCGGATCCGAGTATAACCAGAACTACGTGAAACGTCGAAGGGATTAGGCAGTTATTCGACTGGAAACATGGTAGCTGTGAAGTAGACACAATCCGCAGCAACAGTTGTGTCAAGCGTTATGGGAGTGCTTGAAGGTGGGTGGTAGCTTGGTCCGCAAGTTGGCCGTGTGAAGCGTGGGGATGACGCGACCCGAGCGTGCGGGCTGCAGCTACCTGCATGGGTAAGCCTCCGCTCCACCTCCGAGGTATGGAGCTTGTTAGATAAGTTGTACCCAGCACACGAAACCTACTCCAATGAGATGAGCGATGACTTATACTAATGTAGGAGGAGATAGGATAGACTGTTTGCGTTTGGGTGTAGTAGGCTAGAGGACAACACGTCACACGAGCTTCTTCGTAAACACACCACAGTCTTTCCTTAAAATGGTAATGAATACCATGAATTCACGTGCTAAAAACTAGTCGGATACGAATGATCTCGTGTCTCCAATTGTACACCTGAAACTATACCTAGGCAAAGCTGACCTCGAAGGTGTACAATTTGTTGTACTTTGAAAACCTGCAGACAAAGTAGCAGCGTATACCTTCAACGCATACTTGATGACAACGGGCTTCCTGGCATGCTGTAACAGGTCGAGCATCATGATTCACGCGAGTTTCCAAATCACGCACCTTGCGTGACTGCACATGGCATTTCCAAGTTCTCTATATTCCAACGCCATTGATGCGGGTATGGTACAATCATATACACTCCACGGCAGCTTCCGCCTACGCTGTCTTGGGCTTCTTTGTTCCGTACTTGGACCGCGAGGTGATCCGGCTACCAACACCACCCTACAACTTGTTAGCATCGTCTTTCCCGTTGACATTGGCCGCTGTATGTCTTACCAGATCCAACGCTCCTCTGACCAAATGGTACTTGACACCAGGGCAATCTTGCGCGCGGCCACCTCGTACCATGACAACTGAATGCTGCTGTACGTTGTGCCCTAACCACTGGTTAGTCTTTCTGCCAGTTGATTCCACGCCGCTCTTCCATACCTTCCCCTGGGATATAGGCCGTAATGACCTTGCCCGTACTCAGTCTGACCCTCGCAATCTTCCTCTCGCCCGAGTTGGGTTTCTTCGGCTTCGTCGTTCCCACTTTCAGACATACGCCCTTCAGCTCCGGCCTATCCCTCAATTGTGGCGATCGGAGTTTTCGCGCCTTCTGCGCTATCCGCCCTTGTCGCAGGACTTGTATTAATGTGCATTTGTTCGCGCGAGATGCTGGTGCCGGGCTGATTGCGAAAGCCGGTGTGCTGTGCTGGAACGCGGTGGCGGCAATTGAGGGTCGGGTTGATCGCACCGGGGCGAATGGGGCTGCGGAGAGGACCGAGGGCCGCGCAAGGCGTCGGAAGAATGTGAGAGACATGGTGGGCGCTGTGGTGTGGCTCGAGATGTTCGCGATGGACAAAAGTTCGAGTTGCACCAGCAGATGTGGCTGACTCAGCTAACATTGCCGGTTGTATCGCCAGCCACGGACACGCCGGACGTTGACTTTATTGTCCATGCCAGAGGACCTGAATTACAACAATTGATTCTCTGACTGGATCACAAGTCTGCACTCAGTCTGAAATGAATGTTCTCACGGGGTTGTGACCGTCTAGCCTTTTGAACACTTCCTTGCAGTACTGCGACAAGAACACAGATCCAAATCAACAACACGATCACGATATCGCCAATCAAAATCATCAGTCTCGGCGCAGGATTTGGTCGAGAACATCGGACATTCTTCACAAAAAAGGGAGTATCAAACACTGCAATCAAGTCTCCACCATTATAAGTCTGTGCACAAGCTACATCACAACCTGTTGTAACATTCCCACGCGTCTCTAGTATGGCTTCTTGGGGTCTTCTAGACAGTGCGAGCCTTACTTCAAGCGAGCACGTCAGTGTCACGCGTCTCCCGCCACTTCTGACGGCTTTGGTGACCAGGAACGCAATCGTACACAGTGTATTCAGTGATGCCTTCAAGTGTAGCGCTGTGCTAAGATAGCGGTAAGAGTCCAGATTAAGAGCCCATCTAAAGGAAGTAATCGGGGGTCCTTCGTGAGACCATGGGCTCGCCAGCACGTGGGCAAGGGTCAAATTGCAAGCTGTGGTTGCGTTAGAGAAGCGCAACGATGTTCAGCAAAGTGGAAGACTTACAAGGTGTACTTCAGGTGCTCATCAATCTCCATGATCGCGGCTTGGTTGCCACATCTGTAGCAATAGTTGGGTGCTGTAGAATGTTAGTCATGCAATCAGGGACGGAATGGGGGACAGCCTACCCGAGAAGATGGTCACGACATTCCTGTCTTGCGACCAATTGTACCCCTCCATGACTAGCTGATGAGCACGTGCCACTAGGGTCAGGCCGTTGTTGTGGTTGAAGGCCTCTGAGATGTCCTGGCCGAACGTGTATCCTGCACCGCGGGGTGAGATTCCCCAGCCACACCTGTCATCTGGGTCGGACCAGAGCAGGTCGCACATTGGTCCCTCGTGAGGCACCTCTTGTATGCGGTCAAGCGCCCTGATGTTGTCGAGCGTGTCAATGCTAGGAGAGAGACCACCGTGCAGACAGAAGATCTGGTTGTCGATCAAGGCAGTGAGCGGCAGGTAGTCGAAAAGGTCTGTGAAGTATTTCCACACATTGGCGTTGCCGTACTTGCGGAGACACTCGTCGTAAAAGCCGTACACTTGGGTGATTTGACGGGACTCGTGGTTGCCACGGAGGATGGTGATGCGCTGGGGGTATCGAATTTTGAGCGCGACCAGAAGGGTCACAGTCTCGACGGAGAAGTAGCCTCGGTCGACATAGTCACCTGTTGATGTCAGTATGGATGAATGCTGCTGGGGCAGGCAACGCACCCATGAAGAGATAGTTTGTGTCCGGGTTGGGGCCGCCGATCTTGAACAACTCCATCAGATCGTGGAACTGGCCATGTATATCACCGCAGACTGTGACGGGGCATTTCTGTACCAAGGTGAGCGGATATCGGACTCGCAGGGGAGATGGTACGTACCACTGGCTGTACGTTGGACTCGTCCTGGAGTACCTCGCGGGCCTGTAGCACAATGCTCGTCAGAAGATGCAATCTGGGCAGTTTTTCTGCGCGAGGCTATGTCGCATACCTTGTCGCATAGTCTCTGCACATCGCTCTCGGCCAGCTGCTTGCAGCTCATGAGGCTCTCGATCCAGCCATCCAGCGTGGGGATTGTGGTCGGCTCAGACGTGGGGGCAGACGACAGCTGCATGGGCTCTGGCATCTTTACGTCCTCCATATTGGTATCCATGGTTGCGGGGCGGCGGGATCGATGTAGGTGGGGTGGACGATCGGTTGTTGTGGTGTAGAGCTGTCGAGGGGTTCTTGCCCTTCAAACTCGGCCAATGACGTGCAGCAGACGCGAATGGAGGCGGTAGGCGGGAGCGACTTTCAATTCGAGGGATCGTATAATCAGAGACTGTGTGGCGTACAAGGGGATATCAAGGGCGGCAGCAGGGTCTATGACAGGAATATGGGGAGAATCAACACCACGCACCGCAGGCATATACAGCCTTGGAAGCGCTGGCCGCAATGGAGAATTGTTTGTCCGCGCCGGGTACCAAGAGCCGCAGAGGATTTAGCGCGAACTGCAGCTGGTGTCCGTGCGCAGATGGGCGGACGCTACTGCGGGCAGCTTTGTGCAGCAACCGCGACCCTCGTCCTTTCTCCACTTCACACTTCATTGTCACTATTGCCCATCGCAACCACCAACGCGACAAGTAATAGCAACAATGCCCGCAAAACGCGCATACAGCGCCTACCTCTCCAGCATGCCTGCGGATGTGCCAGTGGTCACTGCCAATGGCTCCGGCGCTCCACAACTGCAGGTAAGTGCTCGCTGTAGGTATTGACCTGGATGAAACTCACAACGACGGCAGGCGCAGCACACCGCACCTTCCTCTGAAGAATACCTACATGTTCCAGGAGGATGGCCGCAAGACGATACCACCGCCACAGAGGAAGTCATACCTCCGCGCGCTTCTCTCTTCAACACGCTCGGCAAGTGGGCTGCAACCGTCAGCGTTGCCAGCCTGCTCTCACTTCCAGCGCGCCTCGCAACCCGATACCTCCGCCGGCAGACGATCAAGGCGATCCCGATTATCTCCTCGACTGGCTCCAGCAAGAAGCGCTTCATTGCTGCAGGCGTGGCAGATGAAGAGTACGCGACACCTTCCCCTTCAGTGCGCGCGCGCGCGAACCAAACGCGTCGCGAAAACCAAAGGCAGGCGCGCGCGTCACAGTCGTGGAATGGTAGCCTGGGCCCGCGTCAGTTCCGCGACTCACCAATTCGACATACGTCACCAGCCAATACACAAGATTACGGACTAGAGACTACACCCACAGGCGGCTACTCCAACAACGCGAACACATCCCTCGAGCCTGAATTTGGCGACTCTGAAGACGCAAACGCATCCCTCGATGTCAATGTCGACTTCTCTTTTGACAACATTCTCACGTCCACCCCGGGACGGAACTACCAGACTGGCTCTCCCATAAACGTGTCCTGGGACTCCCCTCAGATTGACTCACCAGCGAGCCCAACTCCGTCTCCCCAGTCACACGACTATGCATACGAATCGCCTGCTTGCGACAATGCAGCTCCGGCATGGCTCTTTTCTCAGTCTCCTGCTGCGCATACCTCTCAGCATATTACACCATCAGCGCAAGGATCAGCAAGCGCAACCCCCAGCTCAAGCCGCAATAGCCAGCGTGCTATCAAATTGCCCACAGTTACACCCATGCGACGCCAGCTGTTGAAGCTGCAGCTTGGCAATGATATCAAGCGCAGACAGGCCGCGCCTCTGACGGAGTCTGCGGAACAAGGTTTCGCCGAGACCCAGTCGCCTCAAACCAATCCCGAGGCAGCCAATAAAGACTCCTCCACTACAGATGCTTTGTCATATGCATCTCCCCCCGAGCCACACACACACAAACCTCACAACTCTCCATCAGAAACTGATGGTTCGCCGATGCAAGTTGACTCTGTGCTTGCTACCCCAGAGTTCGAATACGAAAACGACTTGTCGTTTCTTCTTGATGCACCTACTCCACCGCGCAGGAAGGGAGTACGTTGGGAAAAGAATGCTAAATGCAAGCCCTTTTACTTTGATGAGAGAGTTAGCGAAATGCTCGACTCCACGCTAGAGACTATCACCTCCAGCCCGGTCAAGAACTACCATGATGTGTTCCAGAATCCTAACCGCGGCGCATCAGACGGCAGTCAGGCCGCATCCTCTTCCGGCTCTTCACCGGCCAGTAGCCCAAAGATTACGCTTTTCGATTCTCCTGCCAAGGACGGTGGATGGCGCGGTGTCTCTATAGACACCTTCAATGCTCCAGATGAATCGCTCGAAGAATCCCAGCTATCACTAGAGCTTTTCGAGGATCTCCAGAGAGAAGTACAGAGGAAGCTTGCCCTGGCGCCACCGCCACCGAAACCACTTGTCGCGCCGCTCTCTCCCAGCGAAGAAGAGATACTGCAAGATGCTGCAGCAAAGACCAACCACGGCCGCAACGCCAGCCAGTGGGTTATTGAAGAGAAGCTGTATGCTCGGGACTTTGCGACCTTGTTGCCTCGGGACTTCAACGGCGACCCGAGGGCTTGGCTGAACGACAACATTGTCAACGAATATCTCTCCATTCTTGTCGCCGCAAAGAAGAAGGAGATGGGCTTTGCACACAAACGTAACGGCCCCGCACCTCCACTTCACGCCTTCTCGTCCTTCTGGTATCAGACCCTCGATACCTCGCGCTGGACCAATAGGTTCCAGCTCAAAGGCAAGCAATACCTAGATGCTGATCTTATCCTCTACCCCATCTGCGACAAAGGACATTGGCGCCTGCTTGTGGTCTATCCCCAGGAACGCTCCATTGAGTACTTGGATTCTATGGGCCTTGACGGACAGAAGTACATCGACCATTTAGTGGCCTACCTCGAGAAGGAGCTCGGCGAACACTGGGTCCCTGGAGAATGGACCAAAGAAACTTCCCAGCGGAGCGGACAGCAGCTGAACGGAAGCGACTGCGGTGTCTTTACTCTCATGAACGCTTTGGTCCTTATCCGTGGCGATGCCCCTGACCGCGTTGTTGCTACTAACGGTATGGACGACGCGCGCAAGCGTATTGCAGCTACTCTGCTAGCCGGACAACCTACTACCGAGCTGGAGTGAGCACATTTTCATCACTCAAAAACACGGATTCTACTTTCATTTTACATTGCATGGATTGGCTGGGAATTTTGTTTTTTGGATTGTTTCACGGCGCATAGCATGGTGTTCGGTCGCTTACGAGGTTCTTTACGACGGTCATGACCTTGATACCCCATGATACCCATCGCCTCAGTGGCATGATTGTTTTGCATATTTGGGAGGCATTGTTCTTGTTTTGTTTTGTTTTGTTCTGTTCTGTTTTGTTCTTCGCCTATATGGCAGATGGCACGCATGTTTCAATAGTGGATGGTCTTTGCTCTTTTTGTTCTTGCACCCAGACACAACCGTCAAGGTATTTGCTGGGTGGTTCTCGTAGATACTTTAGTGTAGCACTAATGCATTTTCCGGATGTTTGTAATATCCGTTCGCATTGTGTAAAGCTCACGTCGTTGTCAGCAGTGAAGTAATTTGAAGATTATTATTTGCTACATTCCAAGCTCTAAGCAGCGACCTTGACGGTAAGCTTGCCAAAGTGCTTCTGATCCCACATGTATTGGTATGCCTCTTTGAGATCCTTGAGCTCGAACACCTTCTCATCGACAACGGGATGTATGTCGTTGGCCTCAATCGCCCTGCACATATCTTCCATCTGTAGTCTGGAACCCACCAAGATACCACGTACAGTGCAGATGTTGCTCAAGCAGTCGAGGAATGTAGGCTGCTCCTTTCCGCCGCCACCAATGAAACCAATAATGGTGATGACTCCATCAATAGCGACAGCCTTGAGAGATTGCGCCATTGTGGTCGGGCCACCGACTTCGACAACGTGCTGTACGCCTGCGCCGTTGGGTGTGTACTTTGCAGCTTCTTCACCCCAGTTGGGGGTCTCCTTGTAGTTGATGACGTGGTCGGCACCGTATTTCTTCAGGATCTTGGCTTTCTCTGCGGAACTCGTGGTAGCAATCACCTTGGCGCCGGCTGCCTTTGCGAATTGTAGAGCGAAAATGGATACACCGCCGGTACCTTGTGTAAGGACTGTGTCACCGGGCTTGAGAGCGCGCGACTCCAGGCCGTAAAGAGCATTCCAGGCTGTTAGGGCGGCGCAGGAGAGAGTTGAGGCTTCGAGCATGTTCAGGTTGGACGGGGCTTGGACGAGGCCAGCCTCATCGAAAACACCGTATTCTCTGAGAGTGCCATCAATGGCGCCTCCAAGGCCTGTGCCAAGAGATTTTCCATCCAGGGAGCCGGCAATGTGGCCCTGGTTGAAGAGTGTGACCACCTTGTCTAAAATATGTTAGACTATGCATCTGTATACGTGTAGAAAAATACGAACCTCCAGGCTTGAAGCGTGTGACATGCTTGCCGACCGATTCTACGGTACCAGCACCGTCTGAACCGGGTACAGTGTTGTCCTTCATTGGGAAGGGGTATTTGCCCATGGGGATGATAAGGTCGCGGTAGTTTAGCGACGCAGCGTGGACTGTCAACCGATCAGCATTGCGGCGAATAACCACTCAATGGATTGTACATACCCTTTACAAGAACATCCTTGTCTCCAATCTCAGGCACCTTGGCCTGCTCATTGAATGTGAGAGAGTCGAAGCCGTTCTGGCCCTGGACCGTCCATGCCTTTGTCGTTGATGGTGCCATGTTGTAGTTGTTTGTGTTTGATGAATGATTTAGTTTTGGAGAGCGGGTGTCGTGGTATTTTAATTAAAGTCCTCAAGAAAAATTGGGAGCTTTATGACGTCTCGGCCATGACGGTGTTTGCTCTTTTATGTACTGCCATGTGCATGTGGGGTGGTCGAAGGTCCGAATAGTGACGCAACAACAACAGGGGCTAGCTTACTTCACGTCACAGCCTAGCTCCCCTGTAGACTGCGGCTATCCTAGATGATTAGCTTGGTACATGAGTGGTACCATGGGGAAGATCCAATAGCGGCTTGCCTGTTGCGGTGTTGCTCGTGAACCGCCGGTCTAGAAGTCGGATCCGTCAGTGCGGCAAATGCTGCTCTACCTGCATCGCCGGGAATTACTCGGATCTTCGGCGAAGGTTCAGGGTAAAGAATGGGACAGCGTTCAAACATGGCAGACATCGGCAAAGCTCATTCCTCGAAGCGGCATTTGTAAGCCCAATGTAGTCGAGGTGGGTCTGCCGGTAAAGAAACACGAGGATGTCGCGTGGTTTCGCGCCTACTCATGCCCCGCTCTGTCTTCCACTGCCTTCTATGCGCGACACGTTCGTTAGTGAACATGCAACCGACGGGGCAACTATGCTTACCTGATTATGTCGGCTTTATATTGCTGCGATACACTAGGTTGATGATGAGTAGCTTTTCTTGTAGACTGCGGCTTCTCCAATGCTATTACGAAAACCGAATGTAGCCTACATGATCCCTAGGACCATTTCTAACATGGCTTACAATGCACACTTATGTGCCCTTTGTAGCTTGTAAGATACCATGTAAGGCGCGACTGAGAAATACTAGCTTTGTGTATCAAGCTTCATGACGCAGCTTGGCAACAGGAACAGCGTCACTAAACTTGAACTCGAACACCCCCCAACGCGCATAGTTATCACGCTGCATTCGCCTCATCGGGCGCGTCGAGATAATGAAACACTTCAGCTATCGAGTTTCTTCAGCTTCCAGCCACCCGCCTGCAGTAGCGCTTAGTGCGTTAATGCCCTACCAATAGCCAGTCCGTCGCGCCACGAAAGCGCAGTTCCCCGGAATGGACCATATCTAGCGGGGCCATGTCGAAGCCATTCGGATAAGCTCCAGCACCGTCTCCCTTCTACTCCAATCTCTCGAGGAATGTGAATGCGAGAGCATGTGCGCTCATGAGACTTTCCCGCAGTCGTCTTCTTGTTGAGATGTTGCGTACACTCGCTGTGTCGCATGTGTAACCCCTCCGCCGAACGCTAGCATTGTGGTATTGTTCCCATGACTGTGCCGCAGTCTCCTAGATCCCCAGAATCGCAGTTACGATGACCTCCCGAGGACCTCAGTCGGCGTACTCTTCCCGAGACGTTTCCCCAGATTCGCGTCCCGAACCTTACGACCCGTTCCGCTCAGAATCTGATCCTATCGAGCTCGCCTATCTATCTCAGCCGTCGCAGGGCAGTCACACAAGAGAAGGGCTGCAGCCGGGAGCATACTTTGGTCTGTCACATGGGGAGAGTCGATATGAGCCTGTTCGTGAAGGATACACGAGTCCTGGTCTCTCCGCACGCTCGACGAGGGAGTCAACACACACCCTAAACTCTCTCTATCACAAGAAGGCTTGGGACGCAGACACACAAGCTCTGGTCGACCGCCGTTCTGGGGAATTGGCGCAATGGCACATATATTGGACTACCCCAGCACTCATTGTAGTGTTGTTCCTGGCTGGGTTCGCGGCAGCAGTGGGCCACCACTCGTTCTATATGCACCTTGACGGGCAGCCGGCCATCGAGCAATTGAAGATGGTCAGGTACGGCACAGCCTTGGCATTCTTCGTAAAAAGCACGCTTGTTGGGACTGTCATCATGTGTAATCGTCAGCGGATATGGTACACGTTTCGGCGAAAGGCGATGACGATTAACGGCATTGATGGCCTATTCTCTGCAACAGAAGACCCAACGCAATTCTTCCTAAACTGGGAGATGATCAGAAACGGCAAGCTTGCCACACTGATGGCCGCCTGTACTTGGGTAAGTCTACAAGTCTTGACGATATGTCTGTACTGACGGCATAGTTACTACCGCTTGCATCCGTGCTGTCTCCGGCGTCGCTCACATCTGAGCTCAGAACTTTCAATGACAATGCTACGTGCTCTGTGGCTACCCTGAACTTTGCCCAGGAGTCTACATACGACTTTCGGGACATGAGTAAATATTCGCTGAAAAGCTTAAACTTCTACAACACCACCCAGCCAGCTGCAGAAGAGAAACGAGATCTTAGAGACGAGGGCTATTTCGACTACTATGATCAGCCGTCGAAGAATGCACGCCGCTTGGCTTTTAGTAGTGTGTACATGCAGAAGCCACAGCCCAGGGAGAATGCATCTTCAGTGTTTTGTGGATCCGGTTGGAACTGCACGTATACGATTGGATTCGTTGCACCCGGGTACAAGTGCGACGACGTTGACGATACCGATGGATCTGACGCGCCTTTCACCTTTGCTGATCTTGCACCAAATGGGAGCCTTGTGTATTCTGCGGACGTTGACCAAGGCGATTACGGGCACCAAGAGCCGGGGGTCAATGGGACGTCTTTGGGTGTCTTCAAAAGCGAACCTGTTCTTTGGATCGGATATGCGTACGTGTCCCTGTACAAACTACATTGATACATACTGACTTCGTACGCCCACGTGTAGCGTCAATACGTCCACACCGTATCCAGATGACAGCTCGTATAGAGCGAAATGGGGAAACGTTCACGAGCCTAGGATATTCAAATGCGTCATGCAGTACACCAATTACACGTTCGACATGACATTCAACCCCAGACAGTCTGCAACGCGTCGAGAGCGAGTGTTTCTGCGTCCTGTCATTGGCGAAGATCCCGTTAAACCCCAAGATGTAGAGAAGTACAAGTTGACGGCCTCGTATCACACCATGGGCTCGCTTTTGCGTCGCTTCCTTCGTGGCAAGATCGAGCAGCAAAAATTCCTGGTCACCTACTCGGATCTGTCTGAAACGCGACTGGCCAACAGCAGCACATCGTATCCGCTGGTGGACCTGAAGACAGAGATACAAGACTTCTTCGAAGATATACTCATCACCCTGCTCAATGAGCCGAAACTGGTCGTCGCACAGGACCAGGAGGTACCTTGCGTGAAATCACGTACCATGATGGTGTATGTGTACTACAGGCGCTCCCTCTGGATTGGGTACGCAATTGTCATTGCAATCACTTTTGCCTTTATACTCGTCGGCGCATGGTCACTTTATGAGAATGGAGTAGCGTCTGACGTGCTCTTTTCCCGTATCATGGCCACAACCCGCAACCCTACCCTGGATCACTTGAGCGTGGGTGCGTGTCTGGGCGGAGATCCCTTTCCTAAAGAGCTGACACGGACGAAACTACGCTTTGGCGTGCTACTTGAGGATGATCCCAGGGAGGGACCTCTGGGAAAAGTCGAGCATTGCTGTTTTGGCACCATGGGCGAGACAAAGGAGATTGTCAAGGGTGGCACGTACGGCTAAGAGTATCAAGCTCGTAAATTTAAACCAAGTTTCGAGACAGAAAGGTCGTTTTGATTCACATCAGTATTTCATTAGACGGGCCGTCAAGACCAGCAAACTGTTAACAAATGCACAGCAAGGAAACGTGACAAGCGAACTACGACTGGTCGCCCATGCCCAGACCCAATAACTCGAACAACATCGGGTTAGCTGCAACAGCTATATATGCAATACCTACTACGGTCAGTCATCGCTGAGATTATCGATGCGCGATACATACCAGTGTACACAATCAGCTTCGTGACCACCTCAACATCATAGCGCACTCGTGGCGTCGTAAGCTTCATGAAGATCTCTCGCTTCTCATTCTCCTCTTCGGTTGGGCTCTGTGTGAGCTTGTAGACGTCGCCGGCAACGTCTGTATCGCTCTCTGGGGGAGTTATTATATTCTTCTCCCTCGTCTGCACATCTCCTGTGCCCATCATCTGCTCATATGAATGCACACGTGATGCCATGGGTGTGGGCAGGAGACCGGCACCAAGCAACGGCTCCCCCTTTTCGATATTGGGCGTATCGAGAACAGCTGGACTGGGAACCCAGGCCGAGTCTTCAGGTACAGCACCATCCAGCGAATTGACGCTTTCCCGTCGCCTTCGGTTTCGGTAGGCAAGTGTTTCGTAAGCATCAGCGGCAGATTGCGGTCCGACAGATACAGATCTCTTGCGTGGGTGAGCGAGGTTCTTGAGCATGTGCGGCAACTCTGACGCAGGTGGGATGACGTTGTCGTCGTCAGCGAAAGGCTTGATAGACTTGTACTTGGAGGCGTTCAGGAAGAAGGCGCGGGGCATATTCCAGCGAGCTTGCTCCAGAATGCGAAAGATGGGCGGCAGTATGGTAAACAACGCAGGCTTCATAGTCGCTCTCCAGACAAAGATCACCACAACACCAAGTAGGATGCGAATGGTCGCTTTCAGCAGACCCATCTCTTCCAGGTCGAATGGGACGGACGACGGGTATGCGTCTTTTACTGCGTAGCCAGTCTGCGCATAGTGCCACGCACCGAGATTGATGCCAATGACAACGCCAGAGAAGGACACGCTGTCGTCGTAGCATGGACAGTCGTCAGCGGGCTCCGGGTGGACGCGGACCAGAACGCACACGACCAAAGTTGCAATGAAAATGTCCATATAACTTCCACTAAAGACGAACGAGTCCATCCAGTCCCCACATACAAGCTGGAAAGCCGTAATCAAGGCACCCATGATGCTCCCGACCAGGACATCTAGAAAGCCGTGCATGCCGCAATACAACCGCCCCGCGATGATGGAAAGCGCATAGAAGTAGAAGAGGGCCTGCAGACCCATGTTCCAGTTGGAGGTGTCGCGGTCGGCCGACTGGCGCAACGTGTATATGGCGTAGAAGGCGACGGACACGGCATTGGCAGAGTGGGACGAGGGGAAGCCGTACTCGAGGGCAGCGGAGCCAGACATGGAGATGCGGGCGAGGGGCGGCGACAGGGGCCTGGGCAGACAGAGCATGTCCTTGAGGAAGCCAGTCCAGTACACACCGGCTGCAAGCATGAAGACAGTCCTGTGTACGTCAGACGTCGCACGATAGTGAATGACAGCGCCCGACATACGCTCGACCGATGCTAGTGTAGCCGCACCAGAACTGGATGGGCAGGAAGACCATGAAGAAGGTATGGGTGCCGAGGTTGGCGGTATAGGCAAAGTACGAGTCGAGTGCGGGCGAGCGCATCTTGTCCTGCATCAGGGCAAGCCATGGTGTTTCCCAGCGCACAATGGGTATGAGGCGGTTCCGCAGGGCATTGCGCCACCGGGGCAGTCGCTGGGCGTAGTGGTCGTGGCCCTTGTTGCCGGCGTCCAATTTGGGCTCCGTGGTCGCTGCGGCGTCGGCGGGCGCATCATGTCGCGGACTCATGGCAGCGGTCGCAGAAAGGGGGTGGGCGAGTCAATCGAACGTGCATGTCCAGCGCGGGCAGAGGGAGTCTGGATGTAAGACGAGGCCGTGGGTAGATTACAGCATGCCATGGCATCGATCGATAGACATGGACAGGCACGCTGCAATTGGGCGCTAGCTTAGCGAGCCGCTGGTGACATAGCGTGGTTGCCATATGCGACCGAGCACTCTAACAGTCAACATCCGACTCTCTTAAGCCCCGACCACTCGCTCCCCACACCAACTCCAACACCATCTTCCTTCTCCGTATTCATATCCTCTGTCTGAAACTTGACCCCGAGCAGACTGCCGCACCCACTCACCATGGCCACCGCACCTTCCCAGAACTACGACTACCTCCGGCGCAAGCAGAGCACAAAGGCGCCCGTTTCGTCAATCACACCAGTCCGCACCCACGCCCGCACACCGAGCGAGCGCAACAGCAACGGCACCGTCAGCTCATATGGAACCACCAACACGCGCGACACCGCCATCACCGAGCCCCCAGCCTACTCCAAGAAGCTCGTTGTTGTCGGCGACGGTGGATGCGGCAAGACATGTCTGTTGATCAGCTACAGCTCCGGCAACTTCCCAGAGGTACGCGCCCGAGCAAGTGCATGTCATGTCAAGCCAATGCTAATGCGACGTAGAAATATGTACCAACCGTCTTCGAGAACTACATCACTCACACGCCCCATCCGCCGACAGGCAAGATGGTTGAGCTTGCCCTGTGGGACACCGCCGGCCAAGAGGAATACGACAGGTTGCGACCGCTCTCCTACCCCGAGACCGATGTCATCTTCGTGTGCTTCGCCATTGACTGCCCCAACTCACTAGAAAACGTCATGGACAAGGTAAGACGCCGCCAACTAGTTCATCGTGCATCAGCTAACAATGCCCAGTGGTACCCAGAGGTCCTCCACTTCTGCCCAACAACGCCTCTTATGCTCTTGGGGCTCAAGTCTGACCTGCGCAACAAGAAGAACTGCATCGAGCTCCTCAAGACACAAGGCTTGACGCCCGTCACCACCGAGCAGGGACGTGCCGTCGCAAAGAAGATGGGCGCTGCGTACATGGAGTGCAGCAGTAAAGAGCAAGACGGTGTCGAGGAAATCTTCGACATGGCCGTCACAATGGCCGTGGGCGAGGAGCACAAGGAGCAAGAAGAGCGCCGCGTAGGCACAGCCACCTCGTCAAGAGGGAACACATCAGCGTTCCCCGCTGGGGGCGGCAAGAAGAAGAAGCGCAGCGGCTGCAAAGTGCTATAGCCTGTGTCTATCGAGAGGAGAGCATATCGAGATTCACGACGCTGGACGACACGATCAAGATGTTTAATGACCACATACGGCTCACCTCCATCACTGTCCGCACATGTTCGCTTCCTCTTTAATCATAGGGAAGTCTTCTCATGTACATGGTCGGCTGGCGTTTGGGTTTTGTTTTGACACGAGAATGGACACAGCGATTCAAAGGTCCACGTAGCAGCATTTTCTTCCCTGTATCTGTATTCGGTATTCTGTATGTACGCATGGCCGGAGTTGGCGCCGACTTTGCCTTTGCATGGCAATAAATGAAGTATATTTCTGGAACCAGTCTCGTGCCCGCATTTTTACTTCTCTTGTTTTCGACGTAAGGTGCAACACTACCAGATCCTGTTTCTAGACGATCGTGATCTGTGCCAATGACTCGTTCTGGGGTATCATTACATCATTTGACTTATCGTCATGGCCTGTTCGACGGCTGGCCGTGCACCTCCGGGCGCGTTGTCCACGAACTAATAAGCTAACAAGGTGACTCCTTGCAAACGCTCATTTCCGGTCCTGAGGCACCTCTGTCTCGCCCTCGTGTTCCGTTGCACCTTCTTGCGCACCCTCCTGTTGCTCACTCGGATCTTTGGCCATGACGTTCTCAAAGTGGCTCCAGAGCGACTCGACGGGCGCGAATTCGTTCCCGACCGACGTGACCTCCTCGAGCGAACGGTTCAATTTGTTGATGTTTTGCAGGACAACTTCCAGACTCTGGCACCTTGTTAGAATGCACATAGTTTGGGGAATTAAATTGAGAGACTGCAATGCGCTCCGTGATGGGCTGTGGCACGTACTTGGGCAATCTCAGTGACGAGCATTTCGCGCTGTTGCTCATAGTACGTCTTTGGCGGCGCGGCATCCTGGCCGTTGGTCGACGCGAAGTATGGTGGTCCCATCTTTGTATTCTTTGGTGTTGATGCTCGGCGGATCTTGTTTACAGATGCAGCGCCGTTCAAGGTTCTTAGTAAGCGATCTCCTCAACGAATCACGAGAGAGCCACGCTTATAGGTCCAAGCGGATAATAGTGGGTCCAAAACTAAAAAGCCTTTCAAAAGCTCAACCTGGAGCTCTTCGTCTCTTGTTCCCTATACTCGTTCTCGCGACGACATTCGCCATGTAGGTAAGCATCAATTCCTTCTACTACTGTTCCTTTACATGATTAAAACAAACGAAAATCTGTCAATCCTCATAGCCTTGTCAAAAGGACTGCTGAGCTTTGTATATCACACTATGACATCCACCTCTTGATCACGTTCACCGCTCTTCTACTCGTTTGGCAAGGAGCTAACGCAGCCTCTGCTTAGATCCATACCATGGCGGCAGCTCCGGCTCCCAAACCAGTCAAAGAACCATTCCCCATATCCCTTGTGGCTGGCCGTTACCTCCTCTTTGATGTGGACGTTATTGCGCACTGCCGTCGCACGCACAACATCTGCGGTCTCCTGGTCGGCACGATACCGAACCTCAGCCAACAGAACGTTTTTCTGGGCGTACCACTTGAACTCATGCCGGAAGAGGCTCGGGTACTCGTCGATAAAGGCGCTGCGTATATCGTGGATGATGCGCAGGCACATCAGAAGGCTTTTGCGGAGATGAGCCGAGAGGACAGGCTGAGGTACATGGAGGAGATGGACAAGCGAGGGGAGGACGTCACCAAGGAACAGACCGAGCTGGCGGAGAGGCGGAAGGAGAGAGCGTTGAAGGAGAAGGGCCTGAAGAGGGAGGAAGTCGAGAAGGGTAGCGTTGCGGCGAGCACGACGTCGGACGAGACGCTCCAAGCAGACGACTCCAGTGTCGCGAGCTCCGGGCTGGGTTTCATCATGAAGGGTTCAAGCTTCTCCGACTCGGCGGCGCCAGTAAAGGCAGTCAAGGTCATCTCCAGTCCTGCCAGCTCAGTCACTGATAGCTCGGATCTTGGTAGCTCTGGTTTAGGCTTCATCATGAAAGGCTCTAGTTTCTCAGACTCCTGGGTGCAAGTCAAGGCCCCCAAGATTGACTCCTCTGCCGCCGAGGTCTCGCTGTTCGACGCTGCGCCCCCTTCGCCTGCTCCTGAACCAGCCGTCCCCGTCCAGGGTAGTGCGCCGAAAGGCGTCGCCGCCCAGAAACACTATGTCACACCGACAACCTCATACCCACCTCTCTCCACGCCTGCAAAAGACCCTGCTGTCCCTCCGCCGGCTGTGCCAGACAGCTATCCGTTGTTCCGCTATCTGCACTCCAAGGGCTACTACCACATGCCTGGGCTGCGCTTCGGGTGCCACTACAACGTGTACCCGGGCGACCCACTTCGATACCACAGCCACTTTGCTGCTACCGGCTTGGGCTGGGACCAGAAGTTCGACCTGCTCGACGTGGTGGGCGGAGGACGTCTCGGCACAGGAACGAAGAAGGCGTACATGATTGGTGGCGAGAACCCCGACGTAGACTCGCAAGAGGACGAGTCCGTGAGGGCGTTCTCTGTTGAGTGGGCGGCTATATAAGTGCTGGTCACCACTATTCATGGGAATTATGACTTGACGAATACAATGCATACATAGAACAATGATGAACTTTGTTCAACCTCGATTACTCTCGATACTTTGTTTTGTCGTGTTTAAAACTCCAAAGCAGCCGCGGTGGCTTTCCCTCCCTCCTCGCTAACCTTTGGGCCTTTGCCCTTCCTGTACACTCTTGCGTCCCTAGGATCGAATCCGCCGTTTCCCCAGAGCGCCCACTCCGGCGTCTCCTCGCCGACGTAGTCTTCCGGTCTCCAGCCCACCACTTTCCCATCCTCCACTCTCGTCCCCTCCACCTTGCCTTCGTAGAGATCGAAGAAGCGCTCAAAGTCGATTCTAGTAGCCCATCTGTCGTTTCTCTTGAATCTTGTGCGGTCGGCTAGCAGGATGCAGCAGGAGTGCGCGTGCTCGGCGCCGATACCATAGGTAAGTCCGCGGCTGTTTAGCTCTTTCTCAAGTTCAGTCACAAACTCGGCGACTTCTTCGTAGAAGGGGACGTTCTCCATGGTAAGGCCTGCAGAGCCGGCTGCGGAGGTCCCGCAGTATGTAACGCCTTTGACCTCGACGAAGCCAGGCAGAGCGCGCTCAACGAGATCAGCGTAGCCGCGCACTTCCTCGGCCATGTTGAAGCCTTTGACCAGCGTGAGGCGGAAGACGGTGCGTTGCTCGAAACGACGGTTGCGGAGGATATCCAAGCAAGCACAGAAACGCTCCCAGAAGTCTCGATGCAGGGGCCGGTCAATCTTGCGGAGACTGTCCTTGTTGGATGCGTCTATGGAGACGTAGAGCTGCGTCACTGGGATCAAGGACGCTAGCTGAGCTGGGTGCTGGGCGTTACAGACAAGGAACGTGGAGATCCGGTTGCTGTGCATGATCCCGAGGAGCTCGTTGATGTGCGGGTAGAAGATGGGCTCGCCGACCAGACTCAGGGCACAGTGACGAATGCGCATGGCTTCGCTGAAACGCTCGGCTCGGACTCCGGGGACGCCCTTCATCATCTTGATCTTCTTGTAATGTGCTGTGGTGATGCCGTCGAAGATCATGTCTGGAGCATCGGTTATCCAGCGCCATGTCGTGCCGACGGGGTTTGTGCCGTGACGCCAGCAGAAGACGCACTTGTTCGAGCAGGAGAGAGACGGAGTGGCTTCCATACACAGGTGAGAGGCAATGCCGTAGAAGGAGTACTTGTAGCAAGAGCCTCGGCCTCGCAGAGCGGATTTAGTCCATCGGCAGATCTTGACGCCTGAATGAGAGCCGATGATGCTGTAGCCTTGTTTCGTGAGAGCGGCGTAGGTAGGGGAGGTGGTAGGAACCATCTCCTTGGGGGCCTGGAGGGATTGAGACTTGGCTGGGGATTTCTTGTAGGTCGTAAAGTCGACGGGTATTGGTCCGGCGGAAGAGTTTACCATCGAGCCCAGGTCTTCAACGTCGTCTACTCGCGTGCTCTGACCGTTTTCCTCCGCCACGTCTTCTTCGTCGCTCTCGATAGGGTCTCCACTGCCCGGCACGCCTTCACCAAGTCCTCGTCCTTCGGCGATCTCTACAAGCGCGTCCTGGACCCCTACCCTCCAGTCCTGCAACCTTTCTTCGGCCTCGCTCTTGACGTCCGCCATGCCAAGCGGGTATGCTCTTTTCCTGCCCGTCAGCCGGGCCATCCACTTGTCCACTTCCCTCGACTGGCTGCAGAAACCCTCTTCCTCGGTCGGCCACCCCTCCCTATCGCCAAAACCAAACACAGTGTACCCCACCAGACCGCTCAGAGGCGCCGTATCGATCCTGAAATCATTGTGTGTCTCCTGCAGGCTCTCTACAAAGACGTCCAAAACGGTGTCGATGTTGTACGTCGGAACGAGGATAATGTAGAAGTATTTGACGTTCGCGTCGCCCTTGGGCGGGCTGATGAAGTAGTCGTCGTGCTCGATGTACGATATGTCGAGCGTCTGGGGCTCCAAGAAGGACTTGGATTGATCGCAGCCCCTGTCGAGATGGAACAGTCAGCGCATGCTTCACAACTATTTGCGCATCAAACCTACCTCGTCCACTCGGCGAGAACTCCCGCGAACTGCTTAGCGTAGCGCTCCGTCGTGCCAGACAGCGACTGGAAGAAGACCAATGGCTGTATCCTATCCGTTTGGTGGTTGAACGTCGGAGGCGCAATAAGCTTCTTCGGTGTCTTCCTGCCCTTGACCATCTTGGGCCCCTTCTTCACTTTTGCGGCTGCAGCCACCGCCCTCGTATCGTCCTCGGCATGGTTGTCGACATTAAGCTCCGACGAGTTGAGCGTGGTGTATTCGGGCAGCCATTCGGGTTTGAGCTGGACGGTGGGTTTCTCCTCTACCGGTACTGGCGATGAGGGAGCTGGCGACACAGAGAGCTTCTCTCTCCGATCGCGCGAATAAATTGCAAGACGCACAACCGTCGCTACTACCAGTGCAGCCAGCAAGATGGGGAGTCGGTGCTGGTGCCAGATGAAGAGTAGCTCTGCGGCGACGTCAGCAACATAGATTGTGATGAGATAGTTAACTGACCAGCTGGCAAATGTTCCAGCAGCTCGAGTAGTGCCATTGCGCTGCTCTCGACGTTGCGCCGGCGTCGTGTTTGGGTACGAACTTTTGGCAAGCCACTCGCGTGGGGTCCGTTAGTGGGGTTCGAGTGCATGCCAGTAGCGAGGAGCCATTTCCTAAGCCGTACCCCACACTTCACATGCCAAGCCGCACATGCGTCGACCATGAACCAAGGGCGAACCACGAGACACCATCTCTGCACCCTTTGTGGAATAAACATGTCCAGTGCCATTAACGCCTATGCCAGTAATGAGATAGCCAAGGGCGGGAAATGCTACGCCCACACTAATATACATTCATCATTCGTGTGCCTACGTTCCGGTTCCAGCGCTCCCCTGACTATTTTGTCGCCGCGGTGCTCTCTCCATGCCCTCGACCACACTGCCCCTTTTCCCCATGCTATACATGCTCCCCTCACTGCCCTGTCTACGGCCAGCTATCCCGCCAGGCCCCCCAAATGTGCTACTCAGTGTCCAGCCTCCGGTTGCTGGGCTAGCGTCCCTGATACTGATCGCTGGCGGCAGTCCCAAGCTCGGAATCTTGTCTTCTCCTATTGGTAAAATCCGTGGAGACGGAGATGGAGCATGGCGGAAGGCTTCGGCATAGAATGCGGACAGCAGCGAGGCGTTGGAGCAGAAAGCTTCAACCTCATCTTTAACCTGTTCAGGGGTGAGGGGAACACTAGATGCAGCGGCTGGAGTGGTCGCTGCTGATCTTGGGTCGTGGAATGTGAGCGCAGTGTGGAGGAGACTGGAATCTTGGACCGGTCGTGCCAGCGGACTCGCAAAGGGACTGCGGTGCGGGTTGCCACGCTCTACTGCGGGTGTCGACGGTAAA